CCCTCCTCCCCCCCCCTCCTCTTCTCTCTTTCTTCTCTCTTCTCTCTTCTCTCTTTTGGACAGAGTCCCCAGTAGCCCCAGCTGACCTGGAACTCATTATGTAGACTAGGGTAGCCTTGATCTCACAGAGCTCTGCCTGCTCTGACCTTCTGAGTGCTGGGATTGAAGGTGTGTCTTACCACACCCTGAGATGTTTCTTCTTGATTATAGGGTCATTTAATTATTGAATGACAGTCTGTATCAAAAAATAAGGAAAAGAAAAAAGGATACAAAGGGAAAAGTAACTGTCTCATTCCTCAGTTTTTCTCCCATAGATAGCCACCTTCATTTCTTATGTCCAAACATATTTTATGCATCTTCAAGCGTATATAATATAAAATATATATATTCTCCCCACCTTTTTTTTTTTTTCAGTGCTGGGGATTGAACCCAAATCCTTGCACATGTTAGGCAAGTGATCTACCATAGGGTCTTGTTATGTAGTTCAAGCTGGCCTGGAATTCATTATGGCCCCCTGGCTATGTGTCCCTCTTTTTTAACTTCCTCTTGGAATGATAGTCAATTTGATGCTAGGTTCTTAGATAAGGTCCTACATCAGAACAGTATAAAATGGGACCTAGTATTAGACAGTTTTAGTTGTTTCTATTGTATTGTTAAGGGAAGGAAGACATGTCCATGTCTTCTTTGGTCCTATGCACATGGGCAGAACATCCTGTTGATGGGAGTATGTGGTAAAGGATATAAAGTTTTATTTTCATTAGGAATAGCAAAGGGTTAACACTTCACTTCTGCTTTGTGGGGTTTTGTTTGGTTTTGTTTTGAGACAGGGTCTCGCTGTAGCCCCAGCTGGTCTGGAAGTCGCTATGCAGACCAGGCTGGCCTTGATCTTACAGAGATCCACCTGCCTCTGCCTCCCAAGTGCTGGTATTAAAGATGTGTATCAAACACCTGACTGCTCTGTGGGTTTTGCATTGGCAACAAAGGATTTGTTTGACTATCCAGATCAGCTGGTATGCTTAGTCAGGTTTGGAGTCCAGAATTGCTGGACTAGCATACCAAACCTCGGGGGTGGGGGTCTTGAGTGTTTTGCAATGTTCCCTTTTAATCTAATTAGTTATATACCAGATATAGCTTTGAATCATATAAGCTCTAAATGTGCTAGAAGCCCTGGCAGCCCTTGTAGGCTGGGTGGGCTGCTTAGAGGGTCTGCAACTCACAGAGGTGAGGGCAGAAGGCCAGCCCTGGTTTTCTCTCCTGGGTAATTGTGAAGCCTCAGTGTTGTCTGCCCCAACTCCCTTTTCTCTACCAGGGTCCCTCCTACAGTGTCTCCATGAAATGTGTCTTACTTTGGGTGCAGACATCTGTGACAGGAGTCCCTCTCATCAGCTCACTGTATCACTAGTCTTTCTGGCTCTGCCCTGTGGACTTCTGTGGTTTTTCTCACTAATCCTCTCTCGTAGAGCTCTATAACCACCTTGAACCTCTCTGCCATGGCCCTTCTGATATCTGAAGATAGCTATTAGCCTCTCACTCAGTGTTTTCCTCTAGGTAGTCACCCTGGACATATTACCTGACCTGGCATCTGACGCCTTTGCTGTCCTGGTAGCTCTTTGAATCCCTCCAGTGTGCCTATGACTTAAGAGTATACAGCACTAGTAGTATAATTCCCAGGATGGTCTGACTGATGTTTGGGAGAATCTGCTTGTTATCACCCACACCCACAGCTGTTAACTACTGGTAGTTTAGCCTAGGATCAAGAGAGTTCCTTTGGCAACCACTTCATATTTTTGTCTGAGACCTTGCTGTCAGCAGATACCAACTTGTTATTGTTTAGTGTCACATGGACTACTGCTGAGGGACTTCCCATTCTGTGCTCCCCTTCCCCTACATTCTTTCAGTCTGCTTCCTCTAGCAGTTGACAGGTCTGTGCAGGTTTCAGCTCTTCCTCAGGTATGGTGTGGTGATACATAGTGATGGTCTTCTTTAGCCTGTCCTGTGTTTCTCACCTCTGGGATTTCTCTGCTGCTCTGGTAGGAGCTGTAAAGGCTCTGGTACCCACTACCTGGAGCTGGGCCACATTTCACAGGTTAAGGACATAGTCCTGCATAAGATTCCCTCATTTCCATCATCAGCTGTAGCAGGATTAGGGCTAGGAAGTTACAAATTTGGCAGTTCTCACTACCCATGCAGGTTTGATAGTTTGTCAGGATGACTCACAGAACTCAGGAAAGTGCTATACTTAAAATTACAGCTTTATTACAGCAAAAGGACATAAATGCAGGAGTCAACAGGAGAGAGGCATAGACCTAAGAAGGTACTGGCCAGTTACAATTTCCATTGTCCATTGCCCCAAAGCATTTGGCACCTTTCCTGCTAGCACATGATTGTGGTAGTAATGCTGCCACCAGAGACGTTCATGTGAGCTCCACTGGACATGTTTGTAGTAGGACTTCATTACAGAGGCCTGATGGAATGAATCTTTGGCTCTGTGAGTCAAGCCCCAGCCTCCCTCCCTTCCCTGGAGGCAATCATGGTAACATAAACTACCGGGGGTAGACTCCCTACCATCACAAAGATGCTCCTCTCCTACTGAAGGTTCTGGGGACAAAAGAAAACCAAATTCTTTTTTTTTATATATTTATTATTTTTATTTTATGTTTATGAGTGTATTGCCTGAATGTATGTGAGTGCACCCATGTCGTGCAGTGCCTCGGAAGTCAGAAGAGGGCTTCAGATTCCCATGGAACTGGAGTTAAGGACAGTTCGTAGTTGTCCATGTGGGTATTGGGAATTGAACCTGGGTCCTCTGCAAGAGCAGTCCCTGCTCTTAACTGCTGAACTATCTCTCCAGTCCCAAGAAAACCAAATTCTTTTCTTGCAGTTGTCCATAGGAATCTCCTGACATTCTTATAAATGTGACCTAGAAATGTGTGTGTGTGGGGGGGGGTGGTTTAGAGCTTCTGGGTTCCTCTTGACCAGTGGAGGATGGATATGTATGAAAGGACAAACATTTCATATGGCTCAGAACCAACAGCATCAACCACTGTTCACATAGGAGTTGTCAACTTGACCTCTTGTTTTTATGTTGACCGTCCCTGTCCCTCCTTCAGTATCTTCCTGCCTCAGGCCCTCATGCTTGCTCTCTGGGACCACTTCCAAGACAGAGTATTTGCACCTAGGCCTTCAGCTCAGGTTCTGTTTTCGGTGACTTCCTCAAAGGCTATTCATTGTATAAACTGTTCTTCAAAATCCTTTTTCCCTTTGATGTGGAAATTAAGTGATTAAGAACTGGGTCTAACTTTTCTTTATGTCTTCTTAATCTGGTGAAGGACTGTGATCCTTCTGAATCAGATAGGTGAGTTGCATGTTCAGTGAGCTTCCTAAGTTTGGAGATTATATAGACTTTCCAAAAGAAAGAAACAAAAAGGCTTGTATGGGGGAGGTAGAATCTCGTTATGTATTGTTGGCTCAGCCTGACCTTGAACCATCCTGCATCAGCCTCCCCAGTATTGGGTTTCTAAGCAAGAACATATCTTTTATTACCTGCCTCCAGTGAAGGCCTCAATGTGAGGAGGGAACCATGTCTTGACATACAAACCGCTGTTATCTCCAGGTTTGGATTGCTAATGTGCTTGGGATTTCTTTCCAGGTCTGATTTTTGTGGTTGACAGTAATGACAGAGAGCGAGTCAATGAGGCCCGGGAAGAACTAACCAGAATGTTAGCAGAAGATGAGCTCAGAGATGCAGTTTTATTGGTGTTTGTAAACAAACAGGTATGTGGTTGTTGACTTTGTGAATACTGGCACTGAAGTTTACTGTCAGGTGACTCACTTAAATATATAGATACCTAAAGTAGATGGCTACCTTGCTCTCTCCAGTCCTAACCATATCCTCTCCTTCAAGTTCCTTTTAGAATGTCTTTAGTCATTTACTCCATAAATAACTGAGCATCTGCTAAGTTCCAGACTTTGCTTTAAGTATTTGGCATATAGCAATGAACAAGATACAGAAACCCCCACATTCATGTAGCTTACTTTCCAGTGAGAAGAGAGGCAGTGAACAAAGACAGTGTAATGTGTCTGGTAGTAAGCATTATGGAGGAAGAAAGTGCAGTGGCTGTGGGAAGTGCTAGAGATGACTGACATCTGAGCCAGGAAGAAGGGAGCCACAGGTTCCAGGAACAGAATGAATGGGGGAGAAAAAGGCAGGGGAGATAGGGTCCTTGGGAGTCTGGGCAGGAAAAGCATTGAAAGTGTGGGAGGAGGGCTGGGGCAGAACTGGCCAGCTGCAGGTTCTGAGCCAAAGAGAGCATGAAGTGCAGCCATGAGAGGTGACCTCTATTACACAGGGACGCCTTCTCTCTACGTCCATAGTTAGGACACTGCTGCAGCCTGTTTTGTCACTTCAGATTTATCAAATGCAGTTTCGCTTGTCACACCCACTCTATAAACATGATTTCCTATGGTGGATGGATCCCAATTCACTCAGCTGTCACCTTGCTGGTCAGTTGCATGCTACGCAGCTTCACTAGTGGACATAACAGACTTTAAACAGGAAAAAAAAAAGCCTTTGTTTTTAATGATAAAATCAGAACATATCCAGGGTGTAGAATCTTGAAAAGCAGTTTAGAATATCAAGTGAAATGTCTTTCCTGTGTGCGTGTGTGTGCGTGTGTGCGTGTTTGTGTGGAAACTACAGGGCTGTGTGGCTGGAAGTAGGGCTTTCTCACACCATGCCTATATATGCTGTATGAAAACCAGTACCACATTTTAACAAAAGCAATGTTACATTTTAAACACTACTTTCCATTTCACTAGCTTTAAAAAAAGTATTTCTTTTTAAGCTGGGTGTGGTGGCACAGGCCTGTAATTCCAGCGCTTGGGAGGCAGAAACAGGTAGATCTCTGTGAGTTCCGAGGCCAGCCTGGTCTCCATGGTGAATCCAGGCTAGCTGGGGCTACAGGGAAACCCTGTTCCAAAAAGACCAAAAAAAGAAAAAAAAAAGTATTTATTTTTATTTTATATGTATGAATGTTTTGCCTGCGTGTATGTAAGTTCACCCATGTCATGCAGTGCCAGTGGAGGCCAGAAGAGAGATGCAGATTCCCTGGAACTGGAGTTAAGGACGATTGTTAGCTGCCACGTGGGTGCTGGGAACTGAACCTAGGTTCTCTGGAAGAGCAGCTGGTGCTCTTAACAGCTGAGCCATCTCTCCAGCCCCTGGTTTATTTATTTTTTGGCAGACGAAAAAACAGACTGGAGACCAGAATTGGAGGCAGGTATAACCTGCAAAGGCTGCTTCTGGGGGGCTGTCCACTAGCTAAGCCCCACCCCAAAGCTTGTATAACTTTTATTTTTATTTTATATGTATGAGTGTATTGCCTGCATGTATATAAGTGCATCCATGTCATGCAATGACTGTAGAGGACAGACGAGAGTGTCAGATCCCCTGGAACTGTAGTTACAGGTGGTTGTTAGCTGCCGCATGATTGTTGGGAACTGAACTCAGTCCTCTTCAAGAGCAGCCAATGCTCTTAACTGCTGAGCCATTGCTTCAACCTCCATTTCATGAGCTTTGATGGTCAGATAAAACAAATTTCTTATATCTCTTTTCAGAAATAAAATATTTTATATTTATATAAGTAATTATATGATTGTATTGTTATTTAAATTCCAGAGATTATGGTATGCATTGTTTTGTGGCCTACATTTTCACTTTGCATATATTTGATGTTCTTCCATATCAGTATATCTAGATCATCCTTCAGTGTTAATGTATTCCAATTTAGTTTTAGCTTACTGTATGTTGGATGTGGTTCAGAGAAAAGATGAAGATTCTTGCTCTTATAAAGCTTATGTTCTAGTTACAGGAGATATGACATATAATGTATACTGGTTAATAACTTTTGTAATATGGTCACACATAATAGTGCTACGATAAAAAGACAGAGAGGAGCACTTTGGTATGATTTTGGTAGGAGGATTAATCTGACTTTTGCTGGCTGTTCGATTGAGAACATGCTTTAGAGGCAAGAGCGGAAGCAGGGTGACCAGTGAGGAAGCTATTTCTGAATATATTCTAATGGAAGAACCATTGGGATATCCTGGCAAAGCTGCATGGACTGGAGAGAAAGAAAATTAAAGATGAGTTCGAGGTTTGTGGCCCAAGTAACTGAAATAGAGATTGTCAGGGTACATTTAAGAGGCGACTGTGTTTTATATGAATAGAAGTTGATAAACTGGCTTTTGTGTCTTTCTTTTCAAGGACCTTCCCAATGCTATGAATGCAGCAGAGATCACAGACAAGCTTGGCTTACATTCCCTTCGCCAGAGAAATTGGTACATTCAGGCTACTTGTGCCACCAGTGGAGATGGACTTTACGAAGGCCTGGACTGGCTTTCCAACCAGCTTAAAAACCAGAAGTGATCAGAAGCAATCCATTCCCTGTGCATTGTGGCAAAGCCAGCTGGCCTATCCTGTGTGCATGTGTGCGTGTGAGGAGCCCATGGGCTGTGCGGCTGGGAGTGGGGGCAGCTTTCTCACACCGTGCCTTATACATGCTATACGAAAACCAGTATTCCATTTTAAGAAAACCAGTGTTACATTTTGAATGCTACCTTCCATTTCACTAGCTTTGATGGTCATATTTCAGAGGCTGCCTGGGTGTGATAGCCAGAGCATCTTCAGGCTGGAAAAGAGGAGAACTGGAGCTGGACAGGTCCCATTGTTGGTGATCCTGGGTCTGGCATCTCCATATACCCAGAATCCTGTTGGACTTTGGTGTCTTTTTGTAAAAAGAAAGGAAGGAACAGTCATTCTATTGTGCCAAAGCTAGTAGCTTACTTTTCAGTGCTTTAAAGCAATCCTCAAGAAGAAAAGATACTTGATTATTACCACAGGTGTGAAGAGGTTCAGATTGGAACATTTCCTTTAAGTTCTGCTTTAGCCCAGACTTCTGGTTTAGGAATCAATGACTTATTTAATTAGAGTATCAAGAGTATAACATTAGAGAAGTTTCCAGCCCTTCCCTTATTTGCCAAATGGAGACCCTGTGAGGTCATGGCCCTGTAGGAGGCCTGGGCTCTTTTACTGAGCCCTGTGGTCCTCAGTGGCTGGAGGTCAGCTGGAGGAAAAAAGGTGAGGTGGCTCTTGTGTTCTGGCATCACTGTCTCAGGCCCCTGAGGTGCTGCTCCCACTTCCCTGCTCTGTACTGAATGTTCTTTATGTGAAGCAGATGGCTACTCTTAGGTGGAGTTGTCACTGTGTCCAGCTGTCCCAGTCCACTGTAGACTTTTAGTTAGTATCTGTTCCCAGAACTGCATACTTGTGAGTTCTGAGAGTTTGTGAGAAAGTCAAGAGGTTAATGTGAGGGATAAATTTCCCAGGAACCTGGTATTCCTTGAGTTGGTGCTAAAATTTGCTCTTCTGAAAAGCATCTCTTACCTAGGCCACTCTCCATGGCATGGACTCCCTCTCCAATAGCAGTAGTGTCTGACGAGCTGTTTGGAAATGTGTGCTGTGTTGTCCTCCAGATAGTGATAGGAAGGCCCAGAGATGAACTAGATTCTCTGAGTCCCGAGCCCTTCTGCCCACACAACTCTTGGCCACATTTGTACCTAAGCCTTCTACTACTCACCCTTTTAAAATGCCTTTTAAAAAAAAAAATCTTGATTCCTCTGATAGAGAAGGGGAATATAAGCTGAATTTTAACAAAAGTAAACCTTGTTCATTGGTGACAGTGAAGTTATTCTAGGGAAAAACCACACCATCGTAAATGTGGGCTGCAATGTTTTTCTTTAAAATTTAACCTTAAAGAATGCTCATTACAATACTGGCAACTAAGTCCAGATGTGATTTTTGACCACAGGAATTCCTGAGAAACATTGAAATTGTATGTCTCCCGTTGGCAGGGAGTCTCATACCCTTTTGTAATTATTTTCCAGTGAACCTGGCCTGATGGTAGGCCAAAGAAAACACTTGGTGATTGGTCAGACAATAAAGAACTTGCTTGGGAAGGAGACAAGGCCACGTACTCCTGGATGTCTGAACTGCGTCGTCTCTTTGCCCTCTATCTGACATTCTGAAAACTCCCAGGGCATGCATACAGGATACACCAAGAGGTGCTGTGTTGCCCTCGGTCCCTGACAGCATTCCTCACTGGCACTTTCCCTACCATGTCTGTTTTATGTGGCTTTGGAGCTAGGGAGTCAGCAAGTGTAAATGGGGAAACTTGACAGTAGTAGTTCTGAACAGAGACCTGGATTCCTGAAAGCCACTTTCACATCCAGCCTGTGTCGCTCTCCAGCCACTCTTTTAGTAGGAGCTTCTGTGTGTCTGAGCTACTTTGCTAGGTTGTCAGCTGGAGATAGCAATATTGATCTCATATTTGTGAGGGTTAAATGTTGTGTGCTTTTTAATGCCTTGCTCCCGTTTCCTAGGGGCTATGGTGGTACCCAACTGTGGACAGCAGTACTGTCCACAAACTGACCAGCATCACTCATAGGGTGTGAGGGTTGTTTCAACTCCTGTCTGTCTAGTCATCCATTGCTGCTGAGAGTTCTCTGTTCCTTTTAACTATGCTCAGTGCTGTAAGACCAGCCTAGATGGTCACATAAAAAGTAGACTTCTAGGGCCCAGCCTGTTTCCTTTTTTTTTTTGGTCTCCTTGTACAATTTGTAAGTCATTATATTCACAGAGTATGCCACCACCAATTTCCATCGCTACCAAAGAAACCCTGTTTCCCTTGGCATCTGTTCCCCATTCTTCACTCCCCTATCCTGGGTACCACTTACCTGCTCTCTGTTTCTATAGATTACCTATAGGGCCTGGGGAACTGCTGGATGCTTTAGAAGTACTAAGGGGCTGTCAGCCCACAGCACCAGTCCAGAGGCTGTAAGTGACTATGATTTTGACCACCCCGGGAGGGGAAGGAGTGCTACTACTGTTATCACTGTGACAGCAGATATAAAGGGAATGTCATCACCTGATCAGAATAGGAGAGCTCTGCCACACACAAGCTGATACTCAACTTCTCTTAGAACAGAAGTCCCAGGAATCTTAGCAGAGGTACAGGTCTTTGTGAATGCCCAGAATATGATCATTATGGCTTGTCGGAGCCCTGTGAGTCACTTCTGTATATCGCAGACATGTATTTTGATTTGTTATACATCATGCCAAATAAGGATATTTCTACATGGTGTTAGGACAGGAAGGGTGTGTAGTCTAAGTTTCAAAGTAGGTTTCCTGTGTGACCGGAAGTGACCTGGGGTCCTTGGCAGATAGGGCACGGGAGTTCATTTAAGTGTACAGTTCAGTGGTAGTTAGTATAGTCATGGATGTGTGCACCCATCACTGAGATTTGAGAGCATTTTCTAAAGAAAAGACACTAGATTTTTTAGCAGTCAGTATCCATATCCTCACATCCCCATTCCCCTAGTTGTAGGCAACCTCTCATCATTGGTCAAATCTCCAGAGACTTCATTGGTCAAATCTCCAGAGACTTGGTGGAGCATTGTGCTCTGATCTTTTTTCTTGCTTTTCATTCTTTAGCTTTGTCGTCTCTAATGCATGGCATAGGATACCATGTCTAGAAGGTTGCTCTGGTCATATAGGCATTGGACAATTGGACTTAAAAGGTGTCCAACTCAGATCAGCTGATGCGTAGCTTGCTGCCACACATCGCCACTAGGTGGTGCTGCTGCTTCACCCAGCTCCTCCCAGCTCCTCCCATGCATCCATCACTACCTGGGATGGGCTAGGGGGCTCTCAAGTGCTAGGGAATCCATCTCCCCTTACTGGTAGTAAGGGTTGGACACCAGGAGTGACCCAGAGAAGAGGACATTGAGTGGCAGTAATAAAGATAGCAGCAGCACTCAACATCTGCTATTTCTTGAGCACAGTGCCTGTCATGCCACCACATACTTAATATATATCACTTTCCCAGCAAGGCACATGGATTGCATCTGCATTACAAGAGGGCAAAAACTGGCATAAGAAGATCAAGTGAAAGCTAGGCATGGTAGCACATGCTTGTGATCGTACACTAGGGAGACAGAAGGGGGAAAATTGAGAGGTCCAGACAGCCTGGGCTACATAAGTGAGACCCTGTTTCAAAAAAAAAAAAAAAAAAAAAAAAAAGGTATATGACTCAGCAGGTAAGGGTGCTTGCTGCCAAGCCTGACGACCTGAGTTCCACCCTCAGGACCCACATGGTGGAAGGAGAGAACCAATGCTGCCAAGTTGCCCTCTGACCTTCACTTGGAGCCACCTGGGCACAATTCAAATGCTGGCCTGGGACACCAGGACCCACACCCTTCTGAGTGCACACTGTTGTGGAATATGCCGAAGACCCAGGCACTGGCCCCCAGAACTTGGCATGGAGGAGGAAAGGAAGCAGAGGCAAAACCGTTAGCCAAATGTTTAGAAATGTGGCTTGTGTGACCTAGAGTTTGTACAACTCTAAACTCACTAAGATCCATCCGGTTGTTCACTTACAATGGATGAGTTGTAAAGAAGTGTGACATTTACAGTGGTGAAACCAACAGGGTTGAAGTGCCTGCTGGGTGGGCTGCAGGCATTCTGAGGAGAGAGCACTCCGAGTGGAACACCTGCCCAACCGCCGCTAACCTCAGTGTTGGGGAGCTCAGAGCCTCAGGGAAGGCCAGTCCAGCTGGGATGTGAGGCTCTAATCCAAGATGAACTCCATCACTTGTGCTTAGTCTCCTGTAAAGCAAACTAAGCTTTGCCCTACAACAAGTCTGAGTGCCTGAGAAGTCATTGCATTCTCAAGTAATTTCATTTCAAGAGAAAAACCCCCAGTGTTTTTCACAGGACAAGATTTCTAGACTCCCATTTTCTACTTGATGGAACCTGTCAGCATTCTTAATGCAGGGAACTGGGAATCTGCAGATGCCAGCACATCGCAGTGTTAGTTTGGATCCTAGAGTCAAGACTGGGTTCAAATTCTTGTCCTATCACAGGCCAGCTGTGTGACCATGGTTAAAAATACCTACCTCTGTGAACCCCAGGGTCTTTTAACTAGAATTATTGTGGGAATCCTACTGACTCTTCCTGCATAACCTTTTCAGCTGGCCTCAGTTGGCTTGGCAGTGGCTAAGCAAGTACAGCAATCCAGGCAGAAGCAGCCATATCTGGTAAGACAACACAAATGTGCAGGAACCAGCGCTCTGCTAACCAGCCACCTGGCTTTCCTCTCAGGACCTCTGACTTGGCAGATCTAGATGAGGCCCTGAGGGCTGGCATACACACCTTTGATATGCCACCTTGCATGCTCAGGAAGCTATTGTTTACCTACCTACCCCTCATTTCATTTTTCCCCGGCACTTTTTTCCTTTGAGACAGGGTCTTGCTACGTAGCCCGACTCCAACTTGTGTTTCTCCCTCCATCTCCTGAGTGCAAATGCCAGCACACCTGGTTTTCTCAACACGTTTAGAAAAATTTTAAACAAAAGTGTCAGAATGTCTCTCTAGATGTAGTTGCTCACCACAACATTTCCTCTGTAGACCTCCATTTTCATATATTTCTTTTGCTGACTCATTTGAAAATAACAGAGACTTTGCCCCTGAGAATATCAGCATGGATCCAAGCGAGGGTCTTGTCCATCAGAAACAAGATCAGGACTCTGCAGTTAAGAGTGAGTACTGCTCTTCCAGAGGACCCAAGTTGGGTTCCCAGCACCCACATCAGGTGACTCACAACCACCTGTAACTCTAATGCCAGAGGATCCAATGCCCTCTTCTCACTTCACAGGTACCTGAACTCACATGCACATGTCCACATAGACACACAAATACACATAACTAAAAATCTTTTTCAAGAGGTGTTGGAGAGATGGCTCAGTGGTTAAGAGCACTGGATACTCTTGCAGAGGACCTGGGTTCAGTTCCAGTGCTCACATAGTAGCTAACAACCATCAGTAACTTAGTTCTAGGGAACCCAACACCCTCTTCTGATGTCTGTGGGCATTGCAAAACACAGGTGCACCCACATATGTGCAGGCAAAGCACTCATACACATAAAAATTTAAAAAGAAACAAAGTCTGTACTTAGGAAACTGAGGCAGGAGGATCACAAATTCAAGGTGAGCCTGGGCTGCATGGGTTGAGTGGAGGGAGAGAGGAAGGAAGGGAAAGACAGTTGGTGAAAGGGGGAGAGAGAGAATGTGAGAAAAGTTCACTTTGACAATGTCATCTAATCATCTCATGCTGTTTTTTTGTAATGGCTTTTCTCCTCCCAAACTAGAATCCAATCCAGTCTCACCCATTATGTGTGATTATATTTTCTTTAATGCTCTTGATGACAGGAGTCTCTTGATCTTAGCTTTCCTCCACTGTATAAACCCTTCTCCAAATCTACGTCAAGGCAGAGCCAGCTGGGACACATGCCCTCCCTCCACCCTTTAATTACTGCTGCTCTGGGCTTTTCATTTTACAATCCATTCACCTGCAGAAAGGGCTTCTGAGGTGGAAGTACTCAGCTCCATCTTAGCCAGATCTATGGCTCCATTCCAATGAACTATAACTTGATTTTTTTTCACCCCCTTCCCTGGGAAGGGGCTTCCAAGTGTAAACACCCAGCAACCTCTTCTGATACTGTTGTTGCTTCTGACATTGTCCTCATCTGACTCTTTACATCATGCTTCCACTACCAATCTTATATGCCAAGCTCATCTTTCCCTTTTCCAGTGCAATAGATACCCTTTGGTTGGGCAGGTGTAGACAGTCTCTCACTATGTATCCCAGGCTGGCCTTCAACTCTGATCCTCTTGCCTCAGCCTCCTGAGTGCTGCCTTAGGCTCCTCCCCCCCAATAGGGTTTCATGTAGCCCCAACTGACTTCTAACTCGTTATATAGCTGAGGATGACCTTGAACTTCTGATCCTTCTGCCTCCATCTCCTGAGTGCTAAGATTACAGGCATGGGCCACCACTCTCAATTTTTTGATATGCTGGAACTCAAACCCAGGGTTCATGCCTGCTAGGCAGACAGTCTACCAACTG